TAAGGGGATTGAAAGAGGACAATTATTTCGACCAAACTGTACCAATCATCTTTTTTTAAATGTTGTTCCTAAACTCGTAGTAATCTTGTTTAAATGTTAATTGTTCAAAAATTAAATTATATATCTTAAAATGTGGCCTGATCGATCTCAAGTAGACATAATATAACCATAACGAACTTAAATCATTTTTCAGAAGTCTTATCGCGTAATCAGGTCCATCGGTACGATTGACGAAAAGTACAATATCATACAAATAAGCATAAATTGTTTAGCGTTCACGCTCACAACGCCGAGGCGGTGACTTGTACGTGCGCGTACGAGGCGATCCGCTATTTTATTTACACAGAGTCACACACGATAATGATCACTTATTACGAACACTTTTACAAAACCCGCATGCATGCAATTTGAAAATTGCATAATACGAACACTTAAAAACGAAATTTGGTAGTTCGATTTCCGGTACCGCGAGTGTTTGATAACTAAATTCTAGCCAATAACAATATTGGTATTGCGCAAAGAATTTAGTTAAAACGTTATATTTATAATCCTTAATCTTTATTTTAAAAAGCTTCTACTTGGTAACGAATAGGCAGTGGCGAATCCAGGGGGGCAGGGGCCTCGCCCCCCCCCCCCTCAGACCTCTTCAACAGACTCTTCTTTTTACTTACAGAAATATTTTAAAGTGTGTACTGACTACTGACTACTGTGTAATGCAATGCATTATAAATATTTATAATTAACTACACAATCTATTCATCTATTTTGGAAATCATTGGGAATGTTATTGGAATGAAAACATTTACAGTAATTGCATATTATAATGTATTTATGGCTTAGAAGTAATTTTTTTATGGGCCCTCCTCCAAAAAAAAAAATTAAACCCGGGATTCGCCAATGCGCATAGGTAGTATTTATAAGTTTATTGGTCAGATTTTAAACAACAATTAAATCCATATAGTTATAAAGTAAATAGTATAATTTTAACATTTTATGTCTTTAGTCTTTACTTTTTATGCCGGAGCCATATGCTAATAATATTAACATTTAAGGGGTCTGGAGAGTGATTAATTTTCGGTCCAAAACATAGCTCGTGACTTCAATCACTACGCCCAATATAACGTTCTGATATTAATTTTGAAAGCAGATTTGAATACGTCACTAAATTATCTATGCTTTGACTATTTCATTTTTCTGAATTTGTTTTTGGTACTAACAAAAATAGTAAAATTAGATCATATTCATAATTGAAACTTAAATACATTGATATGCAATATGAAAAAGGTGGGTAAGTGGATGTCGCTCTGCTGTACAGTAGGTTACAAGTGGGTCACTGTATAATGGATGCTTTTAAATTTGAATTCAATGATACAATATCATTGTATAAGAAAAACGATTCTGAGCGAAGACGGTATGTTAGTCTAGGTTTAAGACAAATTATATACATATCTATGGTATTAAAAAAAAATTGACCTAAAATAAATTCCAAATTAATCATATCACAATATCCATTAGGTACTTATAACACGTTATACACCAACAACAAACCCTGATACTATCATATATATATAATAGTACACTTTAGAAGTTTCAAGTAGGTACCCACGAATAATATTATATAATCACAACAAAATAACTAGGTTTTTTAATATGTAATTTCGTCCAAATTTGAACATAAAATGACTATAAAAATAAACTGTGATTGTATATTTTTTAGATTTTTCGGTAAGAGAATTAACTACTTACGTGGAATCTTGTTTTAAATTTTCAATCCTTAGCTATAAAAACTGAACATTTTATAATTTATTAATTACGATGATTAATAATTTTCGAGATTTTGAAAAATTCTGTCAAAATTCGATGTTAAAATGCTTATAAAAAAAAATTGTGCCTATGTATTTTTAATATTTTTCAACTGATATTGTAACAATATATCAGGAGCCTTGTATTAAATTTTTACACTTTTTGGCCCAACAGATAAAACTTAATTGATATTTATAGAAAAAAAAAACTAAAAAAATTGAAAACTGAAAATGTCCGTAAACGGCTCAAAAAGAGTCAAAATATTTTCAAAATTGTATGGTGTATAGGAAATGCTAATATAAACATTCAGTGAAATTTTCATGTATTTACAGTAATTCGTTTTTTAATTACAACAAAAAAAGGAAATTGCCACATGAGAAATCGAGTGAATATCCAATGTTGTAAAAATTTGAATTTAAAACGCTCATAAAAATTTAATTTGACTTTCCGGTAGAGATTTTTTTATTGATAAAGGTAGACAATCTTATGAGTAATCTTGTATTAGATTTTCAAATCTTAGATTTAAAAAGAAAAATTTTTACGAATTCTTAACTCAAAATAATTTGCTAATTTTCGTGATTTTTCCATATTTTGTCAATTTTTGAACTTTAAATGCTTATAAAAAAAATTGTGACTAAGGATTTTTAATATTTTTCATCTGCCTTTGAAACAATATATTAGGAGCCTTCTATTAAATTTTCAAGCTTTCGCAACCAACAAATAAAATTTTATTGATATTTCTAGAAAAAAAACTAAAAAAAAACGAAAAATGAAAATGTCCCTAAACAGTTCAAAATAAATCAAAATATTTTGAAAATGTTATCGTGTATAGAAAATGCAAATATAAACAACCAGTGAAAATTTCATGTATATACGTTCATTTGTTTTAAAGTTACACCAATAACCAAAATCGATTTTTTGGAAAATCAATTTTGCGTAAAAATTCCCGTTTTTCCTTAATTTTTATGTTGTTTTTCCCGGCGCGTGTGAAAACTACTGGGAAATTTAAATTTTGACCTCCCCAATGCACCAACGATATTCACTTTCCAATCGAACAAGATACTGAAGTCGAAAATCGAAGCATTATTTCGACTACTTATCGTGTACACAGATACAAAAAAATAAAAAAATAAAAAAATAAAAAAATAAAAAAATAAAAAAATAAAAAAACACACATCATTGTAAAATCAATACATTCATCGTTTCACTCAGAATCTAAAATGTACGACAGTCAAAGCATAGTAAATTTAGAGGATAATTCAAATCTGCTTTCAAAATTTAAATCGGAAAATCCTACTGAGCGTAATGATTGAAGTCACTGGCAGTATTTTTTGAAAAAAGATGTTTGTAATTTTATAAAGTAATAAGTGGTGATATGTGCATGCACAAAGTCGTATGATGCCCCTATAAAACGTGATCGGTACTACGAATTACACACACTAATGTTCATTTACTTTCAACACATTCACAAGACCCATATGAACTAAAATATAAAATGCCTAGATTTTACTCCTTAGAATGGATTACGCTCCAGCCCCCTTAACACATAAGTATGTTTTAATATATTATATATATATATGAATTATGAACCTACAGTACAAGCACTACGCGTCACGAAAACGTGCGGATGATTCTAGCGCCTCCACTGGCGTTTTTTCGGTAGGGCCATATAAACTACAATATAGCCCTACAGTACTGTAGTACGCGCCTAATACCGGTTGATTTTTTTTTTTTTTTTTTTAATAATTAATATAAACTCTGTATTCGAAATTTCTTAGTTTAAGTAAGTCTTTTGCTGATTGGTGTGGGTTCTAAAGTCTGAACTCCCAAAAAGTGATGACCATTGACCGGTGAGCATAATAATGAACCAGGGGACTCTTCAGACATAATAATATGATGTTACATTGTACTCAATTTAAAAATAATTAAGGAGCATACATTACATCACATAAAATACTTTCCAAAGAGGAAAAAAACTGAACATTCCAACTCCTTGAATTAAATTACTAAAAACCTACAACTTAAAATAGACAAATAAATAAAACGAATAATAAATAATGTAAACATTTATATATTTTTTTTATTGTTTATCATAACACAGATTTTTGACGTACAAAATATTACATTTTATATGATTATAATACGATTTAAAATAATATCATATAATGCTGGGGGGTCTAAACTGGGTAAGAATACAAAACATTAACCTAACTTTTCCCAACACAGAAAAATAAACCAGACTCTGTGTGGACCCGCCATAAAGTAGATCAATTTTGAATGACTTAAGAATAAGAGGTTGTCCATTATCATGTGCACATTATCATATTATATGCAAAAAGTTTTACAAGTTAGTTACAATTATACAGGGTAATTCACCAAGCAAGCTAACAACCTTTTTCTTCTTCAATAATGCAGTTATTTAAAATCTGAATTTTGGAATTTTTAAATTCCTATGTGTTTAAAGAATATAATATGTTCACATTATGGAGATTTTTTTACTCTTTAAGGAGTGTCCTGTGGAGATACAAACTTCTTTTTTTTAATGAGAACCCCCTTTTTATCTGTAAATTATTCAGTGGATAAATTTTCAGAAAAATTTGAAGCGCCTATCAGAATCAAAATTTATACGAGTAGTTTTTGAGTTATTTAACTTTGTGATAAAGGATAAATGCCTATTGTAGGTAATGGGCTTATAAGATATAGAGACTATGGTGATTTGATAATTTTAGTCATAATATAAATAATTCTAAATTTGTAAAAATAGCCCAATATAATAAATACTAGATCCAATTTTACATCTATTTTGTATATTTGTTAAAACCATTTTTAAAGACTTTTTTCCTTAGTACAAACATTTTAATAACTAAGAAACTACTCATTAAAATTGTAATTAGTTACATCAAACTTTTCAAAAATAATTGTCAACTAATTAATTTACAGCAAAAAAGGCAAGCCTCATCTGAAAATCAGAAGTTTGCATGCCACAAGACATTCCTTAAATAGTACGAAAAAAAATTCAATAATTTAAAAAAATTGTGTTGATTGAAATTCAAATTTGAAAAATCAGAATATGAATAGATTTATTTTTAAAGGAACAAATAGAGTGAACATGATTGGTAAATCACCCTCTATATATAATTCACAATAATAATAATGGTCAATGTTTCTTAAGCTGTTCATAAAAATAAAGTTCAATATTATGAAGGTTGGTTACAAATCATTGGTGTTATATCTTTGGAATTTAAAAAAAGTTTAACAATATGACTATTTATATGATCATTTGTAATGACAACCATTTTAAATTTGACGTTGCCATTATTACAAATGTCAATAAACAATTTGTTAGAATAGTCGGTTATATTTAGTCCTAGAGAACAATACAAATCTGTAGTTTTCACATTTATTATTGATTTAGGAATTGCATATAGTTCATAGACTATTATTTTAGTAGGTACTTCATCTACTAACATGACTTTAAATCCTTCTTCAAATTGACCCATATATTTTACTCTCTTGTATTGTTGGTCAATTTTAGTAACATATAGTTGGAAAAATTCTGGGTTGGAAATAGGAAAAAAATTTTTAGTAGATTTTAGAACATCTGAGATTTTTTTTGTTCCGGATGAATTCAACCGAACTTTAAAAGAATTAAAATGTTTATCATTGATCACTCTCACTTCGCAAGGTTTTATAACTTGAATGATATTTAAACCACTGATCTCCAAGTCTATTATACAAGGATTTCCAATTTTTTTAATTTTTATGAATTTTGATTTGCCCTTGCTTTCGGCTATTTCATTAATAAAAGCAAGATTCATGCTTTCTAGTATATCACCGCTAAAATTAATGGATATATCTAAAGAACAGTGTATTTTGACTGGAGGTGCTGTTCGTAGATAAACAGTAGGTTCAAACATTTCAAAACAGTTTTCAAACACCGCGCAATCGATTAAAAAACATTTATGCTCTTCAGAATCTTCATATTTCTTTATAACCCTTGCCCGATATAATTTTAAATCATTGGTATTTTTAGCAATCACTATTTGACCCTCTTCAGGATGTAATACCGGAATCCATTTTGTCTGACTTTCGATTTCAGTTATAATAGTTTTGCCAATTTGATAACTAAATTCGGTTTCAACATAAAAATGATTTTTGGAAAAACTGGGTTCCACGAGGACAACCCCTGTCTTAGAACTTGAAAACATTTTATTCAGCATTATAAGTTTTGCATGATTTATTGGATCATCAGATATACTAGGAGCAATACCATCCCAAATTAAATCGTATAAAATATCCTGAACATCTTTACCGTTATGTGATAATGTAACTAAATATGGATCATTATTGCTTAAAAAAGTGGCTGTTATTTTATAAGAACAGTAGTATTTATAAATAGAATCAAATAAATCTAGAACTGATAATTTATTTTCATCTTCTTTTGATACACTCTTAAAATAACAATGATAAGCCATTGGTTTTATGCTGGCAAGTTCTTTTGGTAAATCTTTATAAGCTGTAATTAGTACTTTGGAAACCCCAAAATCAATATAGCATACAATCAGTCCCAATTCAGTTATGCTTTGAACTTTTGCTCTATACCATGTACCATTGTGATGGCGAGCAGCAATTAAATGTCCTACTTTTGGAAGCTTCTTTGACGTTGAATCATATTTATTCAATTTTGAACTGATTGATTGAATATATTCATAGTTGTTCATGTTCTGTACATGAAAATATTTTAATGAATTTATATTTGACACATATACATTCCATACATCACCTAAAACCGGTTTATTTAAAATTGGAATATATTTAACATGATTACTATTTGATGAATCTAATTCTTCAGTTTGTGAGTTTTCAAACGATAATAAAGTGGAAATTTCAGTCACAACCTCATCTATAACATCATTTTTTAATTTTCCAACCATGTTTTTGGAATTATTTAAATTTTCTTCTGGGTTTTTCATTTAGAAATAATTATTTTCTCCAATAACTCTTTCCTAAACTAATATTTTCAGTTCCTATACATGAACACCAAGTATCTAAAATTTACCACTTTTATATAATATCTATATAATGGGTAAAACTTGATAAACTTTGTTAGATTTATGTAACTTAAATTTAGTTAGTATTGGATGTTGTGTTTATGATTAGTAATGGTGTAACACATTTGGGATCTGTTATAGCTGCAAATAGCAAGGTTCTTCTTAAACTATGATATGGAAATAATTTGTTTCTGTATACCCTGAGATACCTTTAAACAAGCTATTATTTCTTCAGTACGTATATCCAACTTTTAGCAACTTTTTCAATTATTCGTACTCTCAGGACATCTGTTGACTGTTACTGGCCTATAACATAATTATAAAAATTATATATTATAGCTACATATTATGCTTGGATTTAATTAAAATGTATTATGATATGGTATAACAGTATTCAAAATTAAAGTAAAATAAAAAAATATATAAATTAACCCATACACAAATAATGTAAGATGAAGGACTAAATAAATGTAAAATTTATACATAAATCATTACATGTTGTTCTTATATTTATAGTCATACAAGAAACTAAATATCATACTATCTTATAGCTGTAGATATAAACAACAGAAACTAGAACAGATAACATTTTTATTAGGGGATAATAAAAACAAATGGTTTCATCCAAAATATTTAAGGAAGAATAATTACATAAGATAATAAGTTTAGAAATAATAAATACATATTTTTCTTCAACTTGATAAAAAAAGAAACAATTTGTGATAGATAAACTAAAAAATTTAAAATAATACTACTGTTGTGTCTGTTTTTTCACAAGTTCTGAACATTTTTTTTTTTTAATTTGAATTTAATTCAAGACAAGCACAAGGGATGCTACATAATAATAGTAAAAAAGAATAAAATGTATTTTTTATTAAATCATAATCTAATATAAAACTGTAAGGAGATATCTACATTTCAAATAATTTCTTCTGTCAATTTATAAACACCAAATAAGCTGCCTGGCCGAAGAAAAAACCTCTATAGAATTTTACACAACTCAAATTTAAGGACATAAATTACAGACTCATACTCTGACTGTCTATGACATTCACTTATAGCTGTGAGTGACCAGACGTGTCTAATAAAAAAAAGAGGACATTTTTCCAAATTATGATCCATTGATATTTGATACACAACCAGCTCATAAGTCATAACTGTAATTATATTTTAGACTTTTAAACGTATTTCTAAATTATTGCTTACAAACAAAAGTATACATGTATACTCCAAAATATTTTTTTAACTCACTTAGGGTGTATTAATAATCAATAAAAAATCAGTAAATAATACAATTCTTTTCTTTATAATTATATATAAATGTTACATCTTCCATAATATTTTTTTGGACTTGTATGATTATAGTTCATATCTTTAAAAATAGTAATTTCTGTACCTATTAATTAGTATTTTTCTTGTTTTAGACTTAAATAATAATATTAAAAAAACAAAATGATTCAAGTCAATTATGTGATAATAGCATTTAAAGCGCTATTCTTCATAAAAAAGATAGGTATGTAAGCAAAAATTGCACTTGAGTCTGCAGTGATCTTTTGATACCAATTCTGTTCTTTCTCTCCAGATTTATAAAATATCATACATCTATGAAAGCTACACTCAACGGCTAACTTCTAAATGACTCTACACCACAGCAATAATACAATTCACACATCTTATCAGTTATAAATTTTTAATTTTTTTTAAAATATTAAAAAAAAAATTAAATCACATTTTATGAATCAACAAGACAACATTGAACATAAGTAGGTTTGCCCATCAAAACTTAAAGTGTAACATATAATATAAAAGTGATGTATGATTGTACTACTGCTGATAAACCAATTCAATGTTATGCACATTTTCATATCAAACATTTTGGATTTTCTATGAAAAGAAAATTTGCTATGACTTTTCCATTCAGTATTAATCAAAAAGATGAGTATGTACTAGCTTTATTATATATCAATGTAATCAACTATAGTAAAATTCAATAAAGAGAACATTTTGAATTTTTGAATTTTATTAAAAGAAAAGGGCACAAGAGAATATCAACAAAAAAAAAAGGACTACTAATCATTGTATAAGAGGATTTAATATATACTTAAGGGGATTCGATACCGTGATTTTCTGTTTTCGTCTAACACACGAGCAACATAGTATTTTAGATGTGTTTTTTGCCAAACATACCAATTGACCTAATGAAGCGATCAGAATTCTGAAAACAGATTTGAATTTGTCGTCAAGTCTACTTGAAATCGACTTTCCCACATTTTTGATATTATCCCCCAAATTTTTTAAAATGTCATATTCAAAAAGAGTATTTAAAAATTCTGTTATTTCAATTTTTGGAGAAGTTAAAATCAAAAAATCAAAATTGTGGGTAAGTCGATTTCAAGCAGACTTGACGACAAATTCAAATCTGTTTTCAAAAATCTTATCGCTTCCTTCAATAGATCAATTGGAATGTTTGGCAAAAAACACGTCTAAAATACTATGTCACGCGTGTGTTAGACAAAAACAGAAAATTACGGTATCGAATCCCCTTAACATAGCTCGCAAAACATTTTATGTCTGTGTGATTCAAATGTATACCCCATTACACATGATGACAAGAATGCAGAACCCATTGATAGTAGAAATTATTTATTAAGTGGCATACTGGCTTGTGAGAGGTTTTTAATTATGTGGTATCTAGCTCCATTAAAATTTTAAAAGACGTATTTTTGAGTTAAATGTATTCTAGAACTCGATATTAGAGTCAGTACTTTGAATTTAATATTAATAAAACAATAATAGGCACTGTATAGTCTTAACTATAGTTAAGTATTTTATAAAATGTATACGTACAGAAACTGAGTGCCATCAGGACTGGTGACTTAGAACGAAATTGACTTTCTTTTAGTTATTCATTTAAATGTAAATATCGCAATTCGCAATGGCTCTAAAAAATGTATTGTACCTATATGTTTCCGTTTTCTCTAAAATAACTCATGATGTAAGATTGTATTTTTGTATTAATGTAATTTTTCAGATAATCTAAAATTTAAATTTACAGCGTTCATCAATTTCTCATGTGATCTGTGGTCTGTGACTATTGAGTATTGACCAATGACCACGATTTAAGATATCTTAAACCGTGCTATTGACTAATATCAAACATAACACCATGATTTCTGATAACCCAGAATACTGGTTAGTGGTTACAGGTTACAGAAACCATAAAAAAGACCATAAAAAAACCAAAAAATTCGTACGAGAAAACATTATACCAGGGATAATATAAAACCAGAATATGGTGATATACCGTGTGTTCCTAAATTCATCAACGAATCTAGCGGATTGTTCAGTGGATTGATAATAATTTAGGAACACTTTTTTGTTATTGCGCTGGAACATATTGGTTGATACCCGTAACCAATACCAACCACCGAACATATTAACAGCCTTCAATCAAATTTGATAAATACTATCAATAATAATTAATACTATCACTTTTTTAATTTTTATGTGGTTTTACAAAAATACAAAACACATATTTATAATTTTCTTTTCAATTTTTCAATTTTTCAATTTAATTTTCATTTAATATGGAAAGTAATTTATCCAAATGCATTTTATTCTTCGGATTAAATTATTTGGATGATAAAAACAATTCGTTAGATAAAAAGAAATATCTTCTTTTTAATAGTTTATTAAAAAGTTCTAAAGTCCGTATAACAAATTTTATGTTGGTCATAAGTTTATATGATGACTTAGATTTTAAATGCCATTTTAGGCTCACCAGGAATTCAGTTGAGGTTTGTAAATAAATTATAATAATCAGTAAAACTATTATTTTCAATATACCTATCTCCTAGGTTTTGATGTGCAAGATGAAACCTTATTATATTCGACAAACTAATGTTGGAAGACCTGTAGTTGACTTCAAAAAAGCTTACTATAATCAAACAATGTACACAATGTACATATATCAAAATATTTTACGTACACACATTCTTCAATGGTAAACCTTATTTCTTTATCCATATCCATATCCATGGAATCACAAAGTTTAGTGGAATATGAAGGTAAGTATAAAACGTAAAAAGACTATAATATTACGTGTACGGACGTATGGAAATAAATTTGACTGTCTGTCTATCAATGGAGATTGGAGACCAAGAAAAGACCAAAGAAAATTTGGACCCTGATTACTGATATCAAGATTTAAGAAACACTAATTTAGGCGGGAACAATTGTTATCAAATCAATCTGGTTAATTGTCAGTCCATCTGTAAAATAGCGGATTGCTGATAAATCAATCGGCTTGATTACCTCCCCTCAAACGGATTGGTCATCTGCTGAAATTAGGAACAGTCAAATCCAGCGGCTGACCAATCTGATGAGTTTCGGAACACACGGATGGTGTACTTCTGCATTTACTGATAACACAAACCTACCTCAGTGCAGTAGCTCATTTTCATTGAACTATATAAATTATAATGATGGTATATTGGTATCATATTATAATAGAGTTCGCTCTATAGACATATAAATAATGTATAATTTATTTATATAAATATAATAATATTATTATTACTACAAATTACACACACTAATGTTCGTTTACTTTCAACGCATTCACAAGACCCATATACCTTGAAAATAATATAAAATGCCTAGTTTTTACTCCTTAGAAGGGATTGGTAATCGGTCAAAAAGTCAGGTATGAAAAAAGTTGAACAAAAGGTCCGAGTACATTTTTACTGTCGGACAAATAGTCCGAAAATGCAAATTGTCTATGTAATGTATACATTATATGCACATTATATGCATGTAATATTATATATAGTCAGTTCATATATAATAAATATTTATTTAAACATTTTTTTAGATTCTGAGTGGAACGATGAATGTATTGATTTTACAATAATGTGTGTTTT